ATCCTGATCTTTGATTGGCTGATATGCGTCGGAAAATCATGTGACAGTAAAATCGATCCTACGCCCTGGCGTTGTTCATAATTATATTTCATTGTTTTAGAAAACACCTCAGTGAGACAAAATATAATAAGTTGCATTAGAAATAAACCGAGATTGAGTGCTATATAAAAAAAAATTTTATGAAAATCTGTTTATTTTTTATTTTTTTTTTTTTTTATTTTTTTTTTTTAAGAGTGAGGCCTGGCCTCGGTCTTTATTGAAATTATGTTTTACATTGTTATAATGAGTTACATAAATCATTACGGGGACCTACAGCTTGGACTAGTTTATCCTCGACCTAAAACTCTACTAGAGTAGGCTAACAGGCCTCATCTAGGTTTAGTGAAGCAATGTACAACGCTAGACTAGTAGGGTGTGTAGAGGGGTGATTGAAAATCTGTTTATACATTTCTATAGTTTTGTTCATTAAAGAATTGACCCTGATAAAGACTTAAAATGTCATAGTGCCATAATATCGACCAGTATCTTTGGCCAAGAAATTTGGATCTATTTTATCGTGTCTGAATGAATAAACTTCAATCTTAACAACTCCAGCTTCTTTCGGACTAACACCCTCTCCATTTAACCTAACAGTAACTATGTGGATATCTCTCTCAACATCAAAAATCGCATGTGGACTTAAAAGACCAGTCGTAGTGTTAACGTCATTAAAAACATCGTGTGTTTGCATTCGTATTCCCAATCGTTCCATAGCTGCCGTAATATCGACAGTTCCCACGACAAAAGGACTATGTGATTTATGACCACTCCACATGGCAACAATACCAGCAAAATTAGGTGAAGTTAATGGTGTTTGGGCATCTGCGTCATAATCAAGAAATACTCTAACAGAGTATGGTCCAATTAATTTATTCGATTTTAGAATCACCTTTACGAAAAATCTTTCACCATAAAGAGGATCAGGTTTATATAGTTCAAGAAGATAAGCTTGTAATTTTTTAGGATCTTGACCTTTAAACTTCTCCAATTCTAGATAAGTATGTCCAAGTTTCTCTACATCTCGAACATCATAAGATTTCCAGAATTCTGTTTTTGTCTTTCGGAATGGTGTTAGATCAGTATAATCATCTACTACTTCGTTTATTAATTGTGTATAAGATCCATTGAGTATATTAGTTTGTGGAACCCAACTATCAGGAAACCTGTGTATAAAAAAAGTTTTTTTTTTTTTACTTAATCTTTATTTTTTTTATAATTAGAATTTATTCATTTAAATAAAGATAACACTAACACTTCCTGCCAAAGTGCAAAATTACGATCCAAGAAAACGTGATGGAAATTGAATATTGGGTCATACGAAGCCAAATCTACATAAGCCATATGACCCCCAGGACCACCGATTGCTACATGAAAAGCATCGTGTATTGCCTCAAGAGAAGCATAATGTTTAAATCCATCAACAATTGTAGGAGGAGGATGACTTCCGAAATAATTTGGCATTTGTGAACCATCTGGTCTTATGCCATGGTGGCTAAAACGTAGGAAGTCGCCAAACTGAAATACTTGATACCATCCAGGTCTAAATACCGTAGTAACATATGTGGTCACATTGCCGTTTAACAAATTATTTTGATCTTCATAATTAGCATTAGGATGTCTGATTGTAGGATAACCAGCAGGAGTAAACGGATTGCTTTCTAGGACTGGAGGTGTATAATTTGGTTTATCATTTGGGTTTTTACCTTTTTCAAGGGGAGTTGCGAGATCGACAGGTATTTTAAAACTTTGCAACGGATTTTTGATCTTTTTTTTGCCTTTTGGAGTATTTATTTCTATTTCAGGTGTTAGGAATATTTCTGGAACACCTTCTATTAAAGCTTTATCATCAGTCCAATCCCAATAGGGATGGCGAAGTTGTTTTGCCGCTTCGATATATATATTTTTTTCGTTATCAGGGTATTGTAAAGCAATTTTTTTAGCTTCATTAACCATCAAATTTTCAAACAAAAGTATATATGGCCTGTGCCACGTTGGAAGTAAAACACTTCCATGATGACAATAACCACCAAAACGACCTTTTGCCCAATCCGTCTCATTTTTATATTCATGAGCAC